ATCTTTGTGATTTTTTATTAGATTAATAAATTAAATCTGGCAGGGAAACAGAAGTCAGAAGAATATATACTAGCATAGGCTAGCTTCTATAGTTATTATTACTATTATATACTTCTTTTATAAGTTGAGAATTCAGATTTGTTACAATGTTAATTAGTATATATATATATATATATATATATAAAAAATAGTTTTAAATTAACTCAATAATATAGTTATAAAGAAGAAACTAGACTTATCATGATTTCAAATAAGCTAGGAATAATGAATATAGGGTTAAAAGTGTGTTAATTAAGTTATGGGAATGTTAACATTAACTCATAGAGATGGAAGTATTAATTTGAGAAAAAAAAAACATATTCATAACTAGGTTCTTTTTGCAAAAAAATAACTCCATTTTTTAGTTCTTTCATTTCTGGATGTTCATTTTGAATTTCGATTAATTCAGATTTTCTTGCGAACTCTCATTCTAGGAGGTAAAGACACTCTCTACTAAAATCGATTGCATATATTATATTTAGGAAGTCATTTGGTAGCTGATAAGAGTTATGTAGATATTAGTAAATAGTAATGTTGAGATTAATCATGAGAGAATTTATGTAGTACTCCCTCCATTTCATATTAATTGAATTGTTAAGACATTTTTTATTTTTCAAATTAACTTAATTGTTCAATTTTCAAGTTTACTTTTAGAATGTTTTTCCAGTTTTACCCTTCATTAGTTAGTATTGGAATTAGTTATTAATTAATATTTAGTTATTTTAATCATCATTTTGATAATAATTAATAAGGGTAAAAATGGAAAGTTAAGCCTAATTTATGTCTTAATCTTCTTTTCTTAAAGGGTGTGAAACACCTCAACAATTCAATTAATATGAAATGAAGGGAGTATTATTATAGCACGTATTAGTTTTATAAGGATTAGTTATTCGTGTATCAGTTATACATGTATCTGTTATTTCACCTTTTATTCTATATAAAATAATACATAGATTCTCTTATAACTTATGTATGTATTAGTTATCGATTTCTAAATTTTAAACTAAATATTGTAATTTCTTACTTATACAAAATTTAATACTTACTTAACTTACGTCAAATTACATAACTCAAGTAAAAACTAACTATTAAACTCGATCTTATTTAAAAAAGCTAAAACGATAGTTAAAATAAAACCGAGAAAGTAACTAGCTTTCTTAAGAGGAAAGTGTGAAAACTGATGATGATCATTATATTGTCTGTAGTTTTTTTCTCCCTTGAACTTTGTGAAAAACGTACTCTTTTTAGTCCTTTCATTTATTTTTTCTGTTCTTTACTTAAGTTTTTTTTTTTCTAATTATTTTAAGGTTAAAAAGACATCCTAATTGGATCAACCTTTTGTCTTTCTGGTTCTTCAATCACGTGGCATTTCAGTTTCTTGGGAAAAGAAAAAAAAGGAAAAAAAGAGAAAAAAAATTAAATAAATTCAGTCAAACATAGCATTGCTAGATTCTTGGTATTCAGTATGGGAGTTTTTGGTGATGATAACAGTATCTATCACTATTTTTCTTATCCTTTTCTTGTTTTTGAGCATTGGAGATGAGTCTAAGTTCAACGTATTTGAAGTGTGTGATCATGTCATCTACTTAAATAATATTTTTAACACACTTTTTTATGTGTGGGTTCGATTCTTTTTTATGAATTAAGTATGTGGAGATTCTTTTTTAATTTTGATGGTGTGTCTACTTTAATATCATGTTGAATTGTGTGATTATCGTCTAAAAGCTTGTAAGTAAATATATTTGTGGTGATAGAATTCGAAAATATTTATTATTCTATTTTCTTAATTTTTGTATCAATCAAACTAAAATGGAAACATAAGAGTAACGTTAACTAACAATCTAACGTATATGTATCATAGATTAAATTACATAAATAATATGTAATTATTATTTTTGGAATTTAGGATAAGGTTTGAGAGAAAGAAAGGGAAAGTTCAGAAAATGTATGTAAACTAAGAAAGGCACAAGCTTTTTCTTCTTTTTTTTTCTGAAAAGAAATACCACAAATTAACAAGTCCCATTTCTCTACATGAAATCCATAGTTCCATATTCCAAAAAGAAAAATTAATAATTTATGGGGAGCTTTTTGGGGTGGGTGGGTAGGTGGGGTGGAGTAGTTAGTTGTTACTATTTTCATTTCAATTTGTTTATCTTAATGGAAGTTTGGACATAGAAAAAGTTTAGTTTAGGAAAAAATACTATCCAAAAATAAAGTTCACTATAATATTTGAAAATTAGAGTTATGTTTGGACATGACTACAAATCGTGGTTATTTTTGAATTTTTATGAGTGATTTAAATTGACAATTGTGAAAACAACTTCAGGAATTTAACTTAAAACTATACAAATTCTATGTCCAAACAATTTTTGGATAATATTCTCGAATAAAATAAAAAATATTCATGATTAAATGGACACTTAGTTATTATTTAAATGGTTAAAGAATATTTTCTTTAGTCATAGATATTTTTCTAAATATGTCGAATTATTTAACTATTGTGATTGACTTACAATTCTATGTACGTAATTTTAAAATATTTAAAAAATAAAAACTATAAATCTTAAATTCAAATTACATCAAAACATTAAGTAGTTTGATCCTTATACTTCAAATCAAGTCAAACAAACTTACATTAAAGGTGTAATATTTATGATCTCTAATTAACAAAAGGTACAATAAATTAAGACATTCTGTATAACATAAAAATGTATATTTTATTAATCAGTAATAAAAGAGAATAGTAATTCTTTCTAAAATACGAAAAAAAGTCGTCAAACATTTTTTTTGGGTACATTGGAAGACATTTAAAAAAGAAAGAAAGTGGACATACACGAAAATAAAAAACACACATTTATTTAAGGACAAAATTATTGACTACAAATTTCCATCTTTAGACTTAATTAAGTTCAAACTTTTTTGGTTTAATTAAGTTCAAACTTGAAACTATAAATTGGCCATTAT